CAGAGGCAGTTGCAAAGCAATCTCAGAGATGTTTCATGGCCTGAATCCTCTTACTGCAGCAAGGCTCTGGTTTTAGAAACTGCCAGAAAAATAACAATGGAGAGTTTTAACATGAAGAAAGCGGGAAAGAAAGGAACAATAGAGAGGAGGTGTCTCTGACAGCATCTCAAACAGGAGCCACGCCAGAAATGCATCATTTTCTCTGATGACCCTCACCAGGAGACCCAGGGTTGGGACTCATCCATGTCATTTCATGGATGAGGACCTGGGATCAGCAAGCCTGAGTGATTTGCCCAAGATCCCCCTGTTTTAAGGAATAAAGTCTCCATATGAGGGCTTATCTCAAAGCCCTTTTCCTTGTGACAGATTGTCAGTGGGTACAGGGCATGGCCAAGGCAGTGAATCGGAGTCTTGCAAGGGGTATGGCTCAGGCAAACAGTTAGTGCATCACTCCAGCCTCCAACTGGACCCAGTGTCTGAGACTGGAGGCCTGGATCAGTTACTGCAGTGGCCAGAGAAGGGGCATTCTTTCTCTTATGGTGGGCCCGTGGGGTCCCAAGTCCTTCAGGTGACATGTTAGCTAGTCATTTGTTCACTGCAGATTCAAGTTAACCACAGAAAGACACCCAGTGCTGGCCACAGAGATTTTACCTTATGTCTGCAAGGCAAGCATCCCTAGTCATCCCTGGTGTCTACCCTCATACCCACTTGTGACAACCAAATACGTTTCCAGGCATTGTCAAATGTCCCTATGTTTGTGTGCATGTGTGTGCGTGTGAAAATCGAATAAAAGAACTGAACATTTCCTGAGCTACTACTCTGTGAATATACACTTCTGTTCACCGACGAGGCACAAAAATGGTCAAGACATTTTTTTACCTCTAGATCTGCGCTGTCCAAAATGGTAGCCTCTAAGCCACAGGTGGTTACCAAGTATCTGAAATGTGGCTAGTTTGACTGAGGAACTGGGTTTTAAAATTTATTTTATGATTTATTTTAACCAATTTAAATTTAAAAACTACAGCAGTGTAAAATATGTTTACTTGTTAAACAAGATGTTTCTCTTTTTAGGGTTATATTTAATTTTAACTGTTTGAAATCTACCATCTGAATTGAGAAGTTCTCTAAGTGTAAAATGTATAGCAGATTTTGAAGATTTAGTGCAAAAAAATGTAAAATACCTTTCATTAGTAATTTAAAAATATTGACTGCATGTTAAAATGATAGTTTTATATGTGATGAGTTAAATAATACCTGTTAAAATTAATTTCATCTGTTATTTTTTCTTTTATTAAATTTTAATTGTTTATTTATTTTTGCAAGACAGAGAGAGACAGACACCTAGAATCTGAAGCAGGCTCCAGGCTCTGAGCTGTCAGCTAAAGTCTGACGCGGGACTTGAACCCACAAGCCGTGAAATCATTACCTGAGCTGAACTTGGATGCTCAACTGACTGAGCCACCCAGGAGCCCCTATTTTTTTCTTTTTTAATAGGACTCTAAAAAATGTAAAATTATAGGGGTGCCTGGGTGACTCAGTTGGGCATTGGACTTTGGCTCAGGTCTTGATCTCACTGTCCTTGAGTTTGAGCCCCACATTAGGCTCTCTGCTGTAAGCACAGAGCCTGCTTCAGATCTTCTGTTCCCCACCCCCCCCGCTCTTGCACTCTCTCTCTGAAAAATAAACACTTTTTTTAAAATGTAAAATTATAGGCATGGTTCAAGTTCTATGTTTACTGAAGAGTGCAGCTCTGGAGGATTTCAAGAGAGGGAGTTATCATCCACCAGGGGATGTGGGGGACTGTCTGGAGATATAGTTGGTTGCCATAATTGAGGGAGAAAGTGTCACTGGCATCTAGTGGGTAGAAGCCAGAGATGCTGGTGAACATCCCACAATGCACATGGCAGCCCCCACCACAGAGAAATACCTGTCCCCAAACATCCCTAGTGGTGAGGGGGGAGAAGCCCTGCCCCTGAACATAGACTCTTTGAAGGCAAGGCCAGGAAGTCAGAGACCTGAAGAGCTAATCAGAGTTGGCTGAGCAAAGAAGTTAAGGCTGCTATCACACTTAGTTCTCCTGATTAACTATGGCCAGGAGCACTGCGATCCCCACTTCTCCAGAAGAGAGGGGAGCCCAGAGAAGACAATCACTTGCCCGCCACCACCAGGCCAGAAGGGGGGCAGAGCCCAGAGCCGAACACAGCCTCAACTCTGAATGCTAGCCTGTCCCTGCCACACAATGTGGTCCCACGGTTCTCTGAGCTGGGGCTGATCTGAAACAAGGCTGCCGGTGCTTACAGTCTAATCTCTTCGTCACTCCAATATGGCAGTTATTATTTACATCAGTCCTATTGCTACCAGGGGAAGAGCAGTAACAAATACACCTTTTGAAAGGCACATTCTGCTCAAAGAGAAACACTCGCAGGCACCTCACCCATCAAATGAGGCCGAGAAACAAATGGAACACAATGAAATAAACCTGTCAGAGGAGGAACATTCAGACACCTCAGAGGCAAGAGGTAAGAACAAATGTGCCTGATATGGAATTGGCTCTGTTTAAAGAAAACATTATCAGACTGCTCAACATGAACAGATCCCAGAGAACAATGGCCCAGTGGAAATAGAGCTCCCAAATGTGCCCCGGAAAAGCAAGGTTTCTCAGTAAAGTGGGTGTGAGCACCGTGGTGGACTCACTGGCCCCTCACTGTGACCACACAGCCCTGGAGGTGAGGGTGAGGCTGGTGGGCCTAGGATGGGGGGTAGTAGGGGATTGACATTTCCTGAGGGCCTACTATGTGCTGCTGTGAGCAGGGCACGTTCCAGGATCACCTAGCAGTCATCTGTAAAATGACTGTGAAGTGTGACAATTAGATTTGCATGTGAAAAAATCCTATGCAACTTATTTAAAGTGGCATAGGTAGTGAGTAGCTAGGATGACCTTCCTGGGGCGCTGGCAGTGACATGTTGAGCTTTGGCGGTAGCGATGGACGGAAAGCTGGGCTGGGCCAAGGCTCTGCCCAGATCTCCTTTCCAGAGCTGGCATACCTCATCTCCAGATGCTAAATGTGCTGGCTGCTAAAGGCTCACGGATACCTCCCTCCCGGCAGAAGTGCCGTAAGGCAAAGGCCAGTCACCCCTCTAGGAGGCTGTTCACTCGCATAGGAGCCCACAGCCAACGGCTGGTTGATACAGTGCCACAACTGCTGGCCCCTGGCTTCCAGGTGGGGGTGGTTCCCACACTCCAGAGGCCCCCGTGGGCTCTGGCTGGTGCAGGCCTCCGCATCCTCACTTAGTTTCTTCCCTGCTCTGCCCTGTCTTCCTCACTTTCTTATGAGAATACTCCTCCATGAATGATTTGCATCAGAATCCCTATCTCAGGCTCTGTGTCTAGAGAACCCAGCCTGAGACATTCAATAGCGGTGCTATTTTTTTTTTAATGTTTATTTATTTATTTTGACGGGGGGAGAGGCAGAGAGGGAGAGAGAGAGAATCCCAAGCAAGCTCTGCACTGTCAGCACAGAGCCTGACACGGGGCTTGAACTGACAAAGCATGAGATCACGACCTGAGCCGAAATCAAGAGTCAGACACTTAACCAACTGAGCCACCCAGGTGCCCCAGCAGGATATTTCTGAAATTGGGGAACGGGGTGGACAGAAGCTGATGGTGAGGTACTGGATGTCCAGAACACCCCTTATCCCTCTGACACACTGGCCAGAGAAGTCACACAAGTCAGAGAAGAGGCCACTCTTTGAGCAACAACTTCGAGAGAGGTGATAGTTAAAGATTTGAAATCACCAATGACTTGTACTGACAAGAATGGGCCCCTGAGGCATAATCTCTAGGTCAGCAGTGTCCCTTGTCTGCAGGGCCCCGAAATGGGCATCAGCCTCTGACACAGATGGGCTCTGCTTCCCAGTCTTTGAAGAGTGATGGGTGTTTATGCGACATGAAATCAAACTGCAGTGTGTTCAAGGGAAGGAGCGGGTATTTACTTCTAACAAATACCTACTCTAGACTGGGCACTCCCATACCAGCCCCTCTTACACTCATCATCTTGTGTGGTCTCAGAATACACCTCCAGAAGACGCTGCCTATGCAGAGACTCTGAACAAATGGCGCCCTCTAAGAGGTAACCATGATTACTCCTGCTTAACACACAGGAGAAGTTGACATCATCACATTGAAAGGGCCTGTCCGTGGGGCATCTGGGTGGCTCAGTAGGTTAAGCCTCCAACTTTGGCTCAGGTCATGATTTCACAGTTCGTGGATTCAAGCCCCACGTTGGGCTCTGCGCTGACAGCTTGGAGCCTGGAGCCTGAAGCCTGCCGCAGATGCTCTGTCTCCCTCTCTCTCTGCCCCTCCCTTACCTGTGTGTGTTCTCTCTCTCTCTCTCTCTCTCAAAAATAAATAAATAAACATTAAAAAAAAAAAAATAAAGGGCCTGTCTGGGACAAATGGGAGGCTGGGATCACAGCCGGATCTACTCATCTCCTAAACACAGATGTGGTAGGTCAACTTCTTCCCCAACCTCAGACCACAGTCCAGTCACTTCCTGGGGACACACTCCCTTTGCTCCAGGTATATGTATTTGTCTATTCTGAACACCATACACCTCTCGTTTGTCGCACCACTCATGGTTACAGTTTGTACATTGATCTGTGTTGCTCTTTTCCTTCCCAGAAAGGCAAAGGAACATGTCTTTTCCCCCTCATCATTGGAACAGTTCCCTCAATGCCTGGAACAGTGCTTGGCACAAAGTAGGTACTTAGTAAGCACTAGTAGAATGGATGAGTGGATAGATGCATGGATGAGGGGAGGGATGGAGAGATGGGTGGATGGTGAATGAGTGGGTGACTGGAAGCATAGATGAGCGGATGGATGGGTGGGTGGGTGGGGTGGAGAGACTGCCAGCTCCTCTCTGGTGCACCTGGCCTGGAGGACGCCCTGAGCGAGGGCCACTCTCAATCCCTTCCCACCCGCCCAGGGCTCTGGTGGTCACCTGTGGTGAGGAGGCAGAGTGGAGTCCCCGGGGTCACCTGGGCGCTGCCCATTGGTGCTGACCACAAGGAAGCCAGTCCCCAGGCAGCATGCAGAAGAGAAGGAGAGAAAGAAACACACATGAAAACGTGCAGCATGGTGACAAAACCATAGTTCTTGTGGCTCTGAAGAGCTCACGCTAACAGCAAAAGAACATCGTGATCTAACATAACAAGGCCCGAAACCGATTTTTAAAAATGAAACGACAATAAGAGTCAGCATTTATCAAGCACCCACGACATGCCAGGTACCTCACATACAGTGTTTCTGAGACTGAGAGCAACCCAGAAAGATCAGTATTATCACAAATGAACATATCATCTTTCCACTTGGTGTCTTCTCTCCCAATCTCTGCTTTCCTCATAAATGCTAGCCCCGCCCACATGGCACCTCAGTCTAGCAATCTGGGAGTCATCCTTTACCCTTCCTTTTTACTGACCTCCCACTTCTAATTACTCAGCACGCCTTAGTCATTATATTCCAGGAAGGTTCTGGAAGCCTCCTCCTCCTTCTCTCCCAATTTCATTTCCCCTTGGTTGAAGCCACCCTCATATTTCACTGGGGATTATCTAAGCAGCCTCCTGTTGGTCTTACTGCCTCTGGTCTTGCCCCCTTTCAATCCATTCTCCACCCTTCAGCTGAAGGGCATCAGTAAGGTAAATATCAAATCCCCTCTACCAGTTGGCAGACCCTCAATGACAGATGCTTGCCTGTCCCTCTACACTCTCTGCCCCAAGGGCAGTGAAATCCTCTCGGTTATCAACAGCCCTCTACCTTCTTGTCTGTAGGCCTTACCCAACCTCATCGACCTTGTGTGGAATGCACTCCCTTCCTGCTCTGTTACCTGGCTGGCAATACAGCCGACCTGCCCGGCAACTGTTCATCCTTCAGGAAATCAGTTTGGAATTTCTTTCTTGGGAGTCTTGAGCATCTCACCAGGAATGGAGCAGATGGCCTGCTCTGTCCTCCCATCACACCCTAGTCTTCCCTTTACATAGTGATTACCTTGCTGTGTTATTAGTGGCTGCCTTCTTGATGCTGTAAGCTCCTTGAAGGTAGTCACAGCATTCCATTTACTAGGCAATCTTGTACCTGGCATGTAGTAGGGCTCTGTGAATATTTGGATAAATGAATGAGTGAAGAAGTAAACTAGAGAACTACTGTAACTTGCTCAAGGTCACACAACTAGTAACTGGCAGAGGCCGTATTCCATCCCTGGTTTGCATGACTAATGCTCCTGCCCTCTGAAACCAACCACTTGTTTCTATAAAGAAAATGATACAAAAGGCAGGAAGGTGTCTTATGCTTGGTAAGAGGCTGCATGTTCCTCTAGTGACTCATCAACAACACTGTATGAAGCCCTTCCTTATGCAAACAGAGAGAGAGGTAAAGTGTTCCAGACCAACTGATAAACAGGAAATACATAATTTCAAAAATTCACACAAACACCAAGCTTGATCAAGGTCATGAAATACTATAAAATGTAACTACCACTCAGTTGTCATCATAAAATCCTTCCCTTAAAGGTATGAAGAACTGTGCATTTTCAAAGCACTAAGTCAGAGGTCAGTAAATTATGGCTTGCGGATTAAATCTAGCTTCCCAATGTTCCCTGTGGCCATGGGCTAGGAATGGTTTTTATGTTTTTAAGTGGTTGGGGGACAAAGAAACAAAAAGAAGAGTAATATTTTATGACATATGAAATTATACAAAATTCACATTTCGATGTCCATAAAGTTATATTGGAACACAGTCACATTCTCATTTTATATTTATTATCTATGGCTGCATTTTGTGCTGCAATGACAAAGCTGAGTAGGTGTGACAGATCACATGGCTCACAAAATTGCAAACATCTACTATCTGGCCCTTTATAGAAAGTCTGCCAACCCCTAGTCTGAGTGTCTCTTTTATTATTTTCCCCCACCTTTGAGATAGGCAGGATGTGGCTCACATGTCAGAAAAGGAAATAGAAAGCTTGAGAGAAGACATGACTCACATGTTCCCACCTGGCCCATATCAAGGGCTTCCTACCTGTTCTCCCATGCTCCCACCTTGTCTGTGCCCTGGAACCCCATCTCTGATCCATCTTCTAAGCTGTAACTAGGGTGGCCTTCTGGACAAAGGCAGTTTGCTTAGGCACCTCCAAGGACTCCCATGGTCTCAGGACTATGTCCGTATATATCAGATGGGGCTACGCAGTGTCCTTGGTGTCCTGGCCTCGCTCACTAGTTCAGCCCCCACCTCTGATCACTCCTGCCCTCTGGTCACATTGGCATCTGTCCCTTTGCTTTGGCCCATTCAAGTTCAGTGGCATACTTTCTTGCCTCCAATGATCTGCACATGCTACTTCCTCATCAACTCAGAAAACCTCCTTGCCTGACTCTCCAGCCTTGTTTGATATGATAACCGTCACTCTTTTAAAACTTGTCTCAGTAACCACGTACCTGAGAATGCATATCCTCAAGTGATTTATGTTTCCCTTCTCTGCTCCCACAGCATCCTAAATTTACTTTCATTGCAGCCCTTATCATGCTATATTGATATAATTTATATTTTTGTTATTCCACTAGCTACCTGTTGAGCGCTTATTATAAGCTTGGCATTGCATGAAGCACTTTATATGCATTAGCCCATTAAATTCTTACATTGGTCCCATAAAGTGATGTTATTGTCACTGATTTACAGATGGGGAAACCAAAACACAGAGCAGTTAAGTGCCTTTTCCAGCCTAGAATCAGACTATCCAAATCCAAAGACAAAGTTCTTAACCTCTATGGGACAAGAGGCTACTACTAACACTAAGTTGCACTCAACATATGTTTATCAAAAACTAAATGAAGAAATGCAATTCTGGTTTAGTATTTACCTAAATGTCATTTGGAAAATTACATTTCTGACTTTCAATTTCCCTACCTATGAAATGGGAATAATAATAACTATCTCATGAAGTTCTTTTAAGGATTAAACAAAAACCCAAACAAACAGTTAAAGCCTTAGTTTGGTTGACAGGCCCAGAGGAGCCTCCCTGCCCTACCACCTAGGGCTCCAACTCTGCTGGGCAGGAGTGCCCAGCCATGAGGGGCAGACACAGAAGTATAGCTGCACAGGTGTTAGGATGGGAAGAGGTCTCTTTAGTGGGTGCAGCAGCAGAAGACGAGTGATAGGTCATGGGTCTCAGCAGGACACAAAAGGGAGTGGGAACAGGAAATGGGCTCATACGTATTGTGTAGAGATGAGTAGTGTTTACTGGTGCCTGGCCTATCACTCCTTCTTAGTCACACAGATGAATCCAAGTCTCATCAAGGCCATGTAAGCAGAAGTGACTTGAGTCATTTCCAAGTGAGGTATTCAAGATCCAGGTGGATCCCCATACTTTCTTTTCCCCTCCTATGGGGTCTTTTGAGGCCACATATATGTTAGATGGGTTAACAACAAAGAAACCTTTCTGGTATTAAGCTACTGATATTTGGGTATTAATTTGTTGTTGCAGCAAAGCCTGACTAACCTGACTAATCCAGCAGAAGAAAAGGTTGTATTCCCTTGCTTTCTCTTCTGTCATCTGGTTTCCCCATCACATGGGTTTTCTGTTAAAGGATTAATAACCCCACTCTCTTCATAGTTTCCAGCCTCCATTCATATATATTCATATATATTTATGTCATCCATTAATGAAAATATTAAGACTGTACTAAGAAGAAAAAGATCAGAATTATGAGTGATTCAGGCTTCCTTTCTGACTTTTGACTTCTTTTCCCTTTTCCAGCAAAGAATGTTGAAATTGGAGAGATGCTAATGGACTAAAGATGGCACTAGAGTAGATAACCTTAAAGGCAAACTAATTTCTTGGTTTATTAGCTTCAATATATTGCAGTTGTATAGAAAGCTGAGGGTTCCTTGAGGCACCAGGTCTGCAGCAGATTTCAGGACTTAGCCTGGACACTGCCAAAGAGAAACAAAAGACCCATCATGCTCTGAAGATTCTATTATCAACTATTACTGGAATAGAGGCAAGGTAAGGGGTTAACAAATATGAGACAGGGGACTCTGACTCACAGAATCTCACCCAATCTATGTCATTGACAAGATTCAAAATGGTGTCATGGGAGTGCCATGAGCTTTGGAGTTAGAGCTCAGCTGCAATTCTGTGGGACCTTGAGTTCTTTATTCAACCCTTCTGGGCTTATACTGCTTCATTTCTTTAGTAAGGGTAATAATGATGACCACTATTTAGTGTGTAATACGTTCCAGGCTTTGATTCTATCACTGCATTATAAACTCACGTGAACAAACACAGCACTATGACTGGTACACAGTACCACAGTACCATGAATGGTACCACAGATGGTTAATTTTTGCTAGCTTCCTTCACTATCCCTTCCTTCAACACTACATTGAAACCCAAAAGAGAAAGCTCTAATAGAGCTTTATTTTCTTTATTTCTAACCCTGTCTCCAGAAACATTTTCCCCTTTCTTTGACTCATGATTTTAAAATGCTTCCTATCCCTTTGTATCCCTTTGAGATACAACTGCTCTGGTGCATCAGATTTGAGCTAAGGTCAACTCAAGACAACAAGACAACCAGGTGTCCCAGGTCCTAGGTAGATAATTCTCATTTCTAGTTCACATGGATGAACTGAGAGGACAAGTGTTGGTCTTGATTTTGTTTTCCTGGACTCTACTGTACCAGCTTTGTCTTTCTGAGTGGTATGTGGAAAAGGTGTGTATGTGTGTGTCGGGAAAGAAGTTTGAACAGTTTAAGGAGAAGGGATAGTAGACGGACAGAAGACTAGAGAGATGTACCAGCAGTTGTAGAAAGAAAAATATTAATGGGTTGGGATATGTGAATGTCATCTTTGGGCTATTTTAATCTACTTATGATATAATCTTCTTCTATCTTGTCACAAAGTCTTCAGGAAAGCCAAATTATTCCTTTGGTATTTTAGGGCCTTGAAGACACTTGGTAAGAACAAAAGGGGCCAAGGGTCAAGGAGATCTTGTTATGCTCAAGCAATTCT